TGGATATCAACCATATTTGACTGGAAGCATCATAAGGTGGTGGAGATTCAAAATTGTACAAATAATTGGGCTGACCCCCCAGGGGGCTGAGGGGTGGGGCCAAAAGGGGTCAATTTTGCTATATTGCTTTAAGTGACTTCTCTAGAACTAAGAAGTGGATATAAACCATATTTGACTGGAAGCATCCCTAGGTGATGGGGATTCAAAATTGTACAAATGATGGGACTGACTCCCCAGGGGGCTGAAGGGCGGGGCCAAAAGAGGGAAATTTGGCTATACTGCTTTAAGCGACTTCTTCTCTGGAACTAAGAGATGGATATAAACCATATTTGACTGGAAGCATCATAAGGTGGTGGAGATTCAAAATTGTACAAATGATGGGGCTGACCCCCCAGGGGGCTGAGGGGCGGGTCCAAAAAAGGTTATTTGGCTATATTGCTTTAAGCGACTTCTTCTGTAGAACTATGCCATGGATATTGATCATATTTGGTCGGAAACATTCATGGGAGGCAGGGATTCAAAATTGTACAAATAATTGGGCTGACCCCCCAGGGGGCTGAGGGGTGGGGCCAAAAGGGGTCAATTTTGCTATATTGCTTTAAGTGACTTCTCTAGAACTAAGAAGCGGATATAAACCATATTTGACTGGAAGCATCCCTAGGAGATGGGGATTCAAAATTGTACAAATGGTGGGGCTGACCCCCCGGGCTAAGGGGTGGGGCCAAAAAAGTGTATTACTTTGAAATAGTTGAGATCCCCACCATATAACCATGGTATACAATTGCTGAGTATAAAGAGAAGATTGCTCATTTGATTCCAGGATTGCCCTAGGGTCTGGCCCCGCCCTTGGAGACATAGTCCCTGGGCCATAACTTTAAAACTGTTGAGATCCCCACCCGATACTATATATACAAATGCTGGGCATAAAGAGACGAATGCAGTCATGATATTAGAATTGACCCCAGGGCCTGCCCCCCCTTTTCAGACTTAACCCCTGGGTCATAACTTTGAAATGGTTAAGATCCCTACCCCAAAACTATATATACAAATGCTGGGCAAAAAGAGACAAATGAAGTCACGATATTAGAATTGATGCTGGGGTCTGGCCACAACCCTAGGGACCTAGCTTCTGAGTCAAAGCTTGGAAACAGTTGAGATCCCCAACCCATAACCATACATAAAATTGCTGGGCATGACAAAATCTAATACAGTTATGCTACAAGGATAGACCTTGGGGTCTGGCATATTCCCTTGATCTCATTTGGAGAATATTTTGCCATGATTGCTAAGGTAGCCAGGTGAGCATTACAGGCCCTCTGGGCCTCTTGTTAAAAATATTGAACATATTGCTTAGTTGTTATTTTGTTTACTCCTTACTTTGATCCAAATTGGACATAAACTATGATACTGTCCTTATTGGTAGATAGCAATTTCAACAACATATTCATGATGCGGTCAACAAAGCAAATAAAATACCAGGTGAGCGATACAGGCCCATTTTTCAACAGATTTTTAGCTCACCTGGCCGAAAGGGCCAAGAGAGCTGATGGCATGGTGCGGCGTCCACTTTCAAGGTCACAGGGGTCAAATGTCGTAAAATCTTCAAACCACTTCTCCTTAATAACCAAAAGGCCCAAGGTACAGATATCAAGCCTGTAGCATGCTGGGATGAAGGGCGCTACCAAGTTTGTTCAAATGAATGACCTTGACCCACTTTCAACCTAATGTCCTTGTTCGACATTCAAGGTCACATGTGTCATATGTTTAAATCTTTTAATAGGTTCTTATGAATCAAACACTGATATTCTGCCTGCAGCTGTATTTAAGTCCACTTTTAAGATTACAAGTGTGAGATTAATACCAGGTGAGCGATGCAGATTGGGCCTCTTGTTTAAAAAAAGTTTAAAATTTCGTTCCAGGTGAGTAAATAAGGCCCCTGTTTTTTGTTCTCTATAAAAACACTAGCAAATTAGCTCCTGCTCATTAGGTCATACTGTGGTTCTGCTAAGTGATATTAGGTATATGCAGTTAATTTTATAAAGGATTGACTGATCCCTATCAAGTTCATTTTAAATCTTGTATGAATATGGGTCAGTATTATGCTTACCCGGATTTAAACTTAATCCTGTATAGGAATAATTGGACCATATCAACTGGCTTTATAATTTTGATTAATGTGCATAGGATTTTTGTTCTTGTGGTGTGTAGGAGGATTACCTATTCAGATTTGTTTTGATATATTTAACAGGTCATTTCATATTTGTTAAAAAAAAAAAAAAAAAAAAAAAATCAACCAAATCCCACTTATGATGGTGTTGGTCTTATTTAAAACAAGACATCAAGGTGTTGGGTTTATATACAATGTATACCATATAAAAAAGCCATATATAAGCATGAGGTTACAGATTTGGGGGATTCAAATTTATGGAATATGAGCTGAAGACATGCTAGGTTATTAACATGAGTTGGTGAAGAAATATAGATTAAAACTTAAACAAAAAAATGCCATTTTTCCAGTACATGTCATTAATGAATTAAAAATGTATAGAGTTTTGAACTCAAGAAATTGATTAATGTAGTGCTAATTATGTTTTAGTTTGCCTTTCTTTTATTTAAAAAATGTTCATAACATTTTCTATATGTTTCAAGTGATTCATTCCATGAGTGTTCAAGGAACTATTAAGTAAAGCTGTAACATGGTATCTTGTTGTTGGATGCTGGAAGACATTTTTGGATTTGTGTAGTAAAAGAAATGAAATAAAAATGAAATTAAAAAATGTGAAAATAATTATTATGTTACTTTTAACCTAATGCATGCAATAAAAAGAAACACATCTTGCTTAATGCTATACAAATTTAAAACGTTGTTGAAGAGAGTTATTGAGATATTTTGTGAACAGATTCAAGCATGATGTTTATTGCATTTTATTATAATACCACTGCCAAATGTGATAAGCAATAATCCCACTTGGTCTGATGGGGGGAAAATACAATGCACAGTGATCATAATAGCAGGTAACATTTAACTCATAATTCATGATTTTATGACTAACTTAACATGAAAATAAGATGAAAGTTGAATCTTATAAGAAAATGAAGGCATGAATACTTAATAAATAACGTTGATGTTTTTTAACAGTTTTTTTCTGGTTATCTCCCTTGGATTGCAGCGATGGGGAACAAGTTTTGTTTTGCAGTTTAATATTTATTGGATAAAAAACCTCAAATGCTAACCGAGTGAAATGGCACATGCTAAACTGAAATTGATCCTGCATGTTAAATCTAATAAGGTATCAACTGGGGGAAAAAAATCTAGCAAACAAAATTATGACTAATTTTTCCCAAAAAAATGAGGAACTCTGTATAGGAGACAAAAAATGGCCTCCTGTTGTCAAATTACAGTTTAGTGCACCATATACCATTCCACACAATATTTCAAATAACATGCATAAAATATCTTTATACATGTATCTTAATTTTGAAATAAAAAAATCATGCACAAATTTAATGATAGATAATTCTGAAATGTTTGTGGCACTACAAATACAAAGGTAATACAAAATATTTCCAGTATTAAAAATGTGATTCTGGTCCAATTATTTAACTTCAAGGGCAGTAACTCTCTCAATGGGACCAAATTCATTTTGAACACTGGAAAACTCGTATTTTTGTGTTATGACACTTCAAAAATGGAAGAGCAAAAAAACATAAGAATCTTGGCAAAAAACGTAAAGCCTTTCATTCGAAAATATTGGTAAAAAAGAAAGGCAAAACTAAATTGGCAAATATGATCCTAATTAACAGCAAGCAATAACAAAGCAGTCGAATAAAGCTCATATTAAAGCAGAAAAAATAATAACTAGAAAACAATTAACATGAAAAAAAATATTGACATGTCAAACAAATTAACTTTGGTACGACAAATATATAAATTGATTGATTAGGGGGTGGGGCTTCATTTTAGAACAATGAATGATATTTAAAAAATTATCATAGAAAATAAATGCATCAGTAATCGCTATTTCCGGTCATAATGCCTGTTACAAATGGAAGCACAGACCTAAATTAACGAGGTAAATCTAGTTGTCTACACTCAGATTTTGTTTAAGAATCCTGAATTAACATGGAAGTCACAATTGAACAAAAATAAGCCAATGAATCCTATACTATTGTGAATAACTTAACTCATTCACCCCTGAAGACACGTTTGAACTCTTCCAATTCCAAGGTTGGAATAGTTCATTATGAAGTTTCAGGGGTGAATGAGTTAATTTCCCTGGGTACTGTAACTACTTCATTCACAGATTTGCCAATCATCTTGGATACTTACTTTCTTAAGGTCTAGAGTTTACATTTCATTCAATACAGATACACAATTTCAAATAAGAAGAAATCATCTACCTTATTCTCTGTAATTTGTATCCAGGTGCTGAATAGGGTGCTGATTAAGATGGGTAATGTGATAGTTGCTGCAATGGCAACAGAATTGTCCGACACATTCCCAGGGAGATTTCAAAGTTATTCTCTTTTTTTCTTTCAAAAACACTGAGAAACAGTCTTGTCAGATTGTGATACTGTTGAAGTGTCAGATATAAAATGAGTATATAGCAACATATTTAATTAACCAGAGACGGGCTGTTTGGTAAAGGAAAGGGGGAAGGGTGCTAATTACGGCGAATACAGTAGAAGATTTGACCGGTAAGGTTTTGTATGAATTTACACAGAAATATGAAATATTGTATGAAAAGTAATCTACAGTAATGATTAAGACATTTTATGTAAAATGTCCATTTCAGGTAAAAACAAATTTTAAATATTTTTAAGCAAGAAATTGCAGTGCTGCAAGAGTCCATCACAGAGTTGAAAATGTCACATACATTTACATAAGTAACATGGCACATATAGAAGACAAATGCACCGGAAATGTGGCAATATTGATGAAGCAGGAAATTTCAGTTGACAGTAATGTTTTGTCGACAAATCGTAAAATTCTGAAGAAGTTATCCTTGGATAACATTTAAATTATTGACATTTTTCACAATGAAATAATTTAATGTCTGTTCACCGGTACCTTTGCCCTGAAGGTTAATATCAGAGGCTATTGATTGATTTGAGGAGTCAGATGAACTTTCTTTGGAGCATGGTCTGTTTACAGCATAGTCCTGCTGACTGTGGGACTGAGGTTGGCTGAAACCTAACCCATCTGTGTCCATGTCACTCCGGATAGGCATTTGGTCCAGGTTACAGGATCCCTGGAGGGAGAAGTGGTCGTGGTCATGATCGTAAGGGTGGTGGTAGACGTAGTCACTTGTTTGTGAGTCATCCTCACAACCAACTGATATTTGAGCTCCGAAGTCACGCTTTGGGACCCGACACAAACAGGACTTCTTCAGATTTTCATATTTCTTTTTCAATTCGTGAAGTTCTATGTTTGTTTTCATTTTTTCTTTACATCTCATCTCTTCCCATTGTTCTTTTTCCTTTTTATGCCTTTTTGTATTTTCTTCCTTGATTTTCTGAATTCTTGCATCACTTTCTGCCTTGGCCTCCTCACGACTTCTATTTTGCCACAGTTTCATGTTCTCCTTCTCCTTAGCTAGTTCAACCTTTTGTCTATCATTTTCCTGTTTCAATTCTTCACATTTAGTCTTGTATTCCTTAGCCTCTTTTTGAGCTTTTGCTGCACGCTGTACTTCCTCATTGGCACGTTTCTCAAGTCGACGTGATTTTCTCTCAAATAACTGTGGAAGTGAGAGATGTTCACTTGGTCCTTCTTGATAATCAAGATCTTTTTTCATAGATTCTAATTTGTCTATCAATTTTCCATGTTCGTTTACTTGATTAGCAAATGGAAGAACTTCAATGCCTGGAATTTTGGTGCCGTTGACAACCATTGCTAAGCGACTGCTGATTTGATGTGACAACATGTCCTGAGCTTTCATGTGTTGTCTCTCCTGCTTCTTTTGTCTTTGGTCTGACAAGTGACGTTCACGTTTTTTCTTGATGTCGACGAGCTGGCAAGCAATGTAACGACAGTTTCTATCCTTTTTCAAGTTCTCCACTAGGACCAGGAAAGCCCCAGGGACCTTTTGAATGTATGTCAGGAATTTCCGGACCTGGTCATACTGCTTGTTTTGTTTCTGAAAGTGAGGAATTTTTTTTTTTAGTCTGGACACTTTGGTTATTAGTCATACAAAGTAAGTCTGGAATATTAAATTCTTCGGATTTAAAGCTTGACAATAATATAAAATTGGTCAGAATAAGAAAAAAGATAGATTCTTTCGTCTACACACTTTAGTAAATAGTTGTACAAATGAACTCTGGATTATTAAATTTGCTGGATTTAAAACTTAACAATAATGTAATCAACTAGAAAATAGATTTCCTCAATTAACAGTTGACAGTAACATTCCACACAACTGTTAACCTACCACGATGTTATTCTTATCGTCCAGCTTCAGTATGTTTTTGTCGATAAAATGTCTGAGGAATGACTGTGTGAGAGGCAAGGCTCGCTCCAAATCCTTCAGCAGTCGGCTGATCGCAAACTTCTCAGCCTCATTCATATTTCTGAAAATAAAGAATAAAAAGGAAAATGATTTTTCTGAAAACGAAGTTAGGGCTGCTTGCTTAAAGTGGCAAGATATGATGGGAAATCCTTGGGAAATAACCATCTATGTACACCCACACAGCGCAGTAACACAATGACAGTACATAATAATGGTAATAAAACCTCTAGATCTACACACAGTACAATGACAAAATATATCAAAGCATCAACACAAAGGAATAAAATGTACCACTGGATCAACATATAGTGACAAGTCAGAACACTTAAAGTCAATAACAAAAAGACAACAATAGGAAATAAGGAAACATCAAACAAATTAAAGGAAAACTTATACAAACCCTTAATTCTTAGAAATTACATGTTAAATTAGTAATGTTTGAGAGGGAAACACTACAGTTGTCTCCCCTTGTTTATAAAACAATACAATGATACAATGTCTATATTAAACAGAGTTGATTATATTTCTGATCATTCTTACATCATTATACAAACATATCTTACATGTATTTTTAGAAGGTGATTCATTGGTGGATTGTATTGGCTTTTGAAATAAGTTAATTTAATTGTGATTCATGGATTTAATTAAAATGTACAAATAAATTATAAATATGCTAATTTGTTGGAAAGAATACAAAATACTTACAAAGAGTGAATAAGATTATTCAGACCTAATTTTACATTTAAATGGACCTGATTTTATACTTTGTATTAAGTACTAAAAATTATTTTCCCCTGCACTGGTAAAAGATATTATTAGATGAAATGTGACAGAATGTAGTCTTTTGGGGGGGGGGAAGGTAACGTTGTGAGACAATTATGAATGGTGATGTGGATTAGATAATTAACTCACTCACCCCACAAGACACATTTGAACTCTCCCAGTTCAAAGATTGGAATAGTTTATTATGAAATTTCAGGGGTGAATGAGTTAAAGACGCCTGCATGGTCAAACGTAGATAAAGCTCTGTATGTCTTAGAAATGTAGAAGTTAGTTTGGTCAAACATAGATAAATCTCTGTATGTCTTAGAAATGTAGAAGTTACCTTGGTCAAACGTAGATAAAGCTCTGTTTGTCTTAGAAATGTAGAAGTTACTTTGGTAGAAATGTAGAAGTTAGTTTGGTCAAACGTAGATAAAGCTCTGCATGTCTTAGAAATGTAGAAGTTACCTTGGTCAAACGTAGATAAAGCTCTGTTTGTCTTAGAAATGTAGAAGTTACTTTGGTTTCTCTGTATACGTTCATCCTAGAAATGTGAGATGGAATCACAAGTTGGCAACAAATAAATTGACTGGATCACAAAAGAGGCCTAAGCTACATAATTTCTGACCCCAAACCATATACATGTTTGATTTTATATTCATGATTTAGAATAAGAACAATTTTGTCATTTTTAAAAAATACAAGAATAAATTTGGTTATTTTTATTGTCTCGACGCCACGAAGCATCTGAATCTAGACTAAGGTGTTGTTTTTATCCGCAGCGTTGGTAACATTACGTTTTGCGTTTAAGTAATTTTAACTGAAAGTATAAGTGCTAGACCAACCAAGCTTGGACATTAGATGCATCTTAGGTAGTACATCTCAACCCATGCATCAAATGCGGGACGTGGCCTAAAATGTACCTTTCATGGTCCATTGACTTTGTCAGCATCACCATCAACATTAACTTTTTGCGTTTTAGTTTATTAGTGCTAGACCAACCAAACTTGACAAGTGCATTGATGGTCAAAGTGGGGCACAGGCGAGACATATCAATCGGAGCGGCTTGTTTGTAAGCTATCTATACAGGTCTGCTGATTATAAAGCCCCGATCCCTTCATGATAAAATTACAGGTAAGTATCACACTTAAGGTTATAATATATATTTGAGTATATGGTATAAATCCTGAGCGATTTCCTCATCCTGCTGAGCGATTTCCTCATCATTAATATCAACCCCCCCCCTCTCTCTCTCTCTGAAAACAGGACAGATATATCACTGTATCACACTATAGATCAACTTGTCAGATAGGAGTACAGCTGGTAAACAATAGTTGTATCATACTGAGGTAATAGAGTGTGACAGCATTTAAACCAATAAATCATTGTTTAAAGTTAATCATATGTTAAGCTGTTTAAACCATATTATCAAACTGAGAGAAAAAAAACACATGTAAGTACGCTCGTTGACAAGAAATTTAGTTAGGCCAAAAAAATGTCACATTATTATTTTCTTTGTAAATTCTATACAGTATAGTATTTTGACATCATAACAGTTTTTTCAGAAAATCATATTTTTTTCTGACTAATATTTAATTACGCTAAACTCACTCAAAAAAGTAAAAGATGAACCATGATGAACTCTTGTTTAAACTCTTATTTAAACTCTTGTTTCAAATTTGTCAATCTGTTTATCAGATGTTCAGTTAGAGTAAAGGTTCCAGTCTGTGTATGGTAATGGTAATGTTGTGAGATGGAGACATTAACAGTACAATGTAGACTGGCTGTAACATTGATCATACACATAAACTTACATCTTATGTAAATATGGTAAAGTTTCTTAAAACATCACACTTGCCAAATTACACATACTCATAGCTAAAAGCATAAACGTGTGTATACACACCCTAGGGAAAGATAAGTTTTATAAAGCATTTTTTGAGCTGTTCTTTCAGATGAAATCATTACATCTTAGAAAATTGGAATAGTTTAGCAAATTCACTGGTTGAACATGCTTGATTTTTAAGGTAAAATTCAGGAGTCTTCCTCCAAAATGGGGAGATCTCCTGTTGGCAAGTATATGAAACGTAATATGCAAAATTTATTTTAATGTAAGTGTTCAAAATATTTATAAAACAAATTGAAATTCTTACCTTGCTGGACTTGCAATGCTATTTTGTTGACATAATCTATCTTCACTATTAAGTCACCATTGTATTTGTGTGGTCACTGTCTCCGAGATATTAGTCGTAGGTAAAAGACTCCATGAATAACACTGATTGGCTGACAGGTCCCGTATTGAATAGTTACACCTGTGTACACATAAACTTTTTGTCTAAAGTTCTAATTTTAGACATGATGTCACTCTATCGCCGAGCGCCTATAAAGTATTGAAGTCACCAGACTTGGCACTTAAAGGTGTCGTTTGTTTTTTAGTAGATATCATAATACATGTAACTACTAATATACATATATAAAAGTGAATTTCACCAACACCTCTTAAGAGTCAGGTTACTTTGTACCCTAACCTTACTTATATAATTATCTAGGCCTCCATTGATCTGAAACTGAGACTTTGGAAATATTCTTACAGTAATTTAAAAGCCTTTGTTTAAAATGTATCTACCGATCAATACCATTTGTTTGAAGATGTCCTGAATCAGAAGATTGTGCGAGTTATAGCTTATTAACACACGTAATATGTCGAACAATTGAAGAGTTTATTGTCTCACAGAATAGACCATACCTCTTATGAAGTTTAGAAACACTCTTAGAGATTAAAGTCTTCTTTCTTCAAGTAATATAAGCTGGCATGATGTGTAATTATATAATATTTTAGGTGATTTATTACCGTTGAGTATGTCCTAATCCATGGTCTAAAATATTACGGCCCATTTTCTACACTGATAGTGTTTGAGAACTGACAAGACTGACGCCTTCTTCGATCATAATGAATGGTTTGCTTTAAGGTGTATACATTTCTCTTTATTTAAAATATGTTTTTCGGACAAACAAAAATAGAAAAATGAGAAAATGGGATCTCAGCAGTCTGTTACTGTTAACTGATGGCAGATCTCTGAGGAATCAGAGGGCTTCAGGACCCTCACGTAGCCTGCCAATTTCTTCATAAGCCTTGTATTTTTCACGTTTTATTTGGAAACCCTCCAGAGTATTTTGAACCCCCCCCCCCCCCGTCACCATGGAGCTTTGGTGGAAGCTCGCTTAAAAACAAAGTCAACATGATAAAGTTATTGGCAGTGTTTCAGGAGGGACAAGATACAGTATAAATGTTACATGCGTCATACACAATGACTTAACAGAACGATAAAATTTAACAAAGTCCTCCACAGTGTTTCTGATTAAAACAAGGTTTCAAATATCTTTTTGTTGTGCAATTTACATATTTAAAACAGGCACAATTCAAATTCAGGGTCAGACACTAGCTATTTGTGATTGGTAATCCACGGGGCTAGTTGAATATAGATTTTATAGTCTGCAATTTCCTAAAGAAAGTGCCTGCAGCACAAAGCATAAAAAGTAATTGACTGTAGAGGACATAAGATGCATGAATACTGCTAAATATATAGAGACAGATATGGTAAAGCTTCAGGAAAATTTTGCCATTTATCTTGCAATATTTTCTTCCAATTTTTTTTTCTTTTCTGTAATCTATCTATCAAATGATAGTGCAGTAACAAATATTTTTACAAGACCAAAGGACCAGTTAGCATGGGTCTTTCACTATAGTCCTTGTTGAAATCTTTTGGTCTTGGAGTAGTGTTAGAGTCTAATTCTGGTTTTCAGAGTATATATGTAGGCCCAATGGCCTTAACACATTGACCTATCAAACATCATTGGCTAAGGAACAGTAAGGTAAATCATTATAATCAAAACTGTGGTCTATATGCATATATTCTCTGGCATTTTAATTGAGGACATTTTCAGACAATACTTTCAATGAAAAAAAGAAGAGTTAATTTTGATATAATCATTAAAAGATTATTCATGCTATTACACCTTTAAAAAGAAAATTGATTAAACTGAATTAAAGGATCAGTTATCTGTGTGGACTTGTTTTAGAGCTGAAAACAGATTGCTTCCCGAGCTCCCCCTCCCCCCTGCTTATTTTTCCAAAATTGTTGAAAATATCAGAATATTTTCCCAGTTTTTAGTTCACCTGGCCCCAAAGGTCCAAGAGAGGAGCAGCTTATGTCTGGCATCTTTTAACTTTTGCTTTAAAATTCTGCTTGTTTAGAATGGTTGACCGTAATTTGACTTTTTGTTCTAAAGCATTCTTGTGGGCCTAGGGGATCAATGTTGTGTGAATGGAGGACGTGTAGGGTTCCCCTTGAGTAAGAGGGGCTGGGCCTAGGTGATCAATGATGTGTGAATGGAGGACGTGACCCCCCTTGGGTTAGAGGGGCTGGGCCTAGGTGATCAATGATGTGTAAATGGAGGACGTGGTTCCCCTTGGGTTAGAGGGGCTGGGCCTAGGTGATCAATGATGTGTAAATGGAGGACGTGGTTCCCCTTGGGTTAGAGGGGCTGGGCCTAGGTGATCAATGATGTGTAAATGGAGGACGTGGCCCCCCTTGGGTTAGAGGGGCTGGGCCTAGGTGATCAATGATGTGTAAATGGAGGACGTGGTTCCCCTTGGGTTAGAGGGGCTGGGCCTAGGTGATCAATGATGTGTAAATGGAGGACGTGGTTCCCCTTGGGTTAGAGGGGCTGGGCCTAGGTGATCAATGATGTGTAAATGGAGGACGTGGTTCCCCTTGGGTTAGAGGGGCTGGGCCTAGGTGATCAATGATGTGTAAATGGAGGACGTGGTTCCCCTTGGGTTAGAGGGGCTGGGCCTAGGTGATCAATGATGTGTAAATGGAGGACGTGGTTCCCCTTGGGTTAGAGGGGCTGGGCCTAGGTGATCAATGATGTGTAAATGGAGGACGTGGTTCCCCTTGGGTTAGAGGGGCTGGGCCTAACAAGGGAATAGATAGTAAGTATGGGATTCTCTAGTGTTTGGCCTGCAATGGGCCAGGAATCTACAATAAAGCCTGTGATGTCTTGTTTTGGTTTTCAATAAGATGTCTTTTAATGCTCATTTCTGACATTAGGGGAATCCCCTATCTATTAAGTGTAGGCAGGAAAAAATTTGGACAGTTGTCAAAGGAATTTCCAAATGTTTATAAATAAAGTTTTTGACCCAATGCAAACAAATTGCCCTCAAGTATTGAATCTTTGTTCAAACTGGATATGTAGTGGATATTTCATACATATTTGAAGCTTTCATTGGCCAATAGGCCCACCCAAAAAATTAAACAGAATCAATCATTCTATCAGGATTGATCCCTCCTGGGGCCTGGGCCTTGTCCTGAAGTTACTCACTGGGTTATAACATAGAAACAGGAGAGATCGATCCCTACCATATATATAGGATCTTACATGAGATTTATGAAACGAGTCTGAAGATTTTTCCTCCGGTAAGCTAAAGTGAAATATTTGTGACGAGTTTCATATATTTCATATGAAATGAAAATGAGTGTAAGATCCTTTTTGTCACATAATAAAGATATGTGGCATTTATTTGTGTAAAACAACAATTTTCATGCATCCTTGAAATGTAAAAAGCTGCCATTTTGACTCCAGTGTGTTAGTCTGTGACGTCATGGACTTGTCCTAGGCGTGACGTGAGTCGTCACGATTGAAACAATTGAAACTTACAACCAATCACAGGGCTGATAAGTCATGTTACATGGGTTAATATTCACTGGATAAAAGAATGAACGGGCCTCAAGTCTGGCCCCACTCCATCTCTTGGTAACCAAGGCACTTATCCTGAATACCCATTTATAAAACTGCTGGGCATGGAGAATAAAACCAATGCCTTCCCTTAGGAAGTTCAGACCTTGATATACATTTATTACATTCTTATAATTTTTCAACAGATTTTTAAGTTTAAAATATCGTTTCTGGTGAGTTGTTAAGGCCCCTGTTTTTTGTTCTCACTAGCATTTATTAGCTCCTGCTGATTAGGTCATACTGTGGTTCTGCTAAGTGATATTAGTTATATGCAGGGAATTTGATAAAGGATTGACTGATCCCTATCAAGTAGATTTTAAATCTTGTATGAATATGGGTCAGTATTATGCTTACCCGGATTTAAACTTAATCCTGCATGGGAATAATTGGACCATATCAACTGGCTTTATAATTTTGATTCATGTGCATGGGATTTTTGTTCTTGTGTATAAGGAAAAAAAGAGTAGTTCGAGCAATCCAAGTCTACATATGCAAATATCACAACAGTCAAGTTATTGATACGTAACACAGAGTGCCTAGTATAAAATAGTTTGCGATTCTAGCAATAGATAATATTACATATGTCTTTCTTATATTTATTTACATAATAATCAATTTTCATAGTCAATATTTAACTTAGTCTCTAAGCAGAGACAATGTAGGCCGCTAAGTAGTAAATGTTTCCTTAAGTATTAGCAGAAGTTTATCGTAATGTATCAGAATGCGGAGGGTTGATTGAAACTTCATAGTTGTACCCACCACCTGATCGCACGGTAGCATCATGACATGTCTCTTCTCACCGATGCTGAGCAAACATTCCACACCTTGTACTGATAGGATATTATACAGAGTCAGGGCGCCTTGTACTGATAGGATATTATACAGAGGCTGGGCGCCTTGTACTGATAGGATATCATACAGAGTCTGGGCGCCTTGTACTGATAGGATATTATACAGAGTCTGGGCACCTTGTACTGACAGGATATTATACAGAATCTGGACACGTCATACTGATAGGATAATATACAGAGTCTGGGCGCCTTATACTGATAGGATATTATACAGGGTCTGGGCGCCTTGTACTGATAGTATATTATACAGAGACTGGGCGCCTTGTACTGATAGGATATTATACAGAGTCTGGGCGCCTCATACTGATAGGAAATCATACAGAGTCTGGGCGCCTTGTACTGATAGGATATCATACAGAGTCTGGGCGCCTTGTACTGATAGGATA